ACGTTGTGACGTTTGATAGAACACTAAGTGTTCCTTCGGTATTCGGGAGTTGCATAATCTCATAGTCATAGGAACATGTATAAGTCATGAAGAAAGTAATAGCAATAAACTAAACGATCATAGTGCTAAGCTAATGGATGGATCATGTCAATAACATCATTCTCTAATGATGTGATCCCGTTCATCAAATCACAACTCATGTCCATGGCTAGGAAACTTAACCATCTTTGATTAACGAGCTAGCCAAGTAGAGGCATACTAGTTACACTCTGTTTGTCTATGTATTCACACATGATCAAGCATGGGATTTTCCCTTCGGTCATGGAGGAGAGCGATGATGCGCCATCCTCGGCCTTCATCCATGGCGACGGTGACGAGATGATTGAGCATGGGATTTCCCCTTCGACCACGACGACGTATGATGACTTGAGTGGCTTTTGCCACCATATTGAGAGTGAGAGTGAGTTCACCACTAGCCCCATATATGAGGAGTTGCCCCAATTCTCATGTGAGGAGAGCCACAACCCCCACCACTTGAGTGAGATGAGTGACTCCACCATATGTGACATTGAGTGCACCTACTTGGAGGGAGTGAGTGAGCCACCATATAGAGAGAGTGAGGTAGTTGATAGGGCATGTGATGCCACTTCGATTTCTAATTACTTAAGATCTACCTCCATCGTGTCTTCTCATTTGGTGTTAGGTCCCATATATGATGATGTGCCAATTCTCTATGACTTCATCCTTCCTATGGACAAGGCGATGGTGGAATATGATGCACCCCCACATGGTTCCATCAAGATGAAGATGACCACCATTTGGTCTTTCCCACATCACCTACACCACTTGAGTGAAATGAAAAAGGTAACATAGGTGAAGGTGATGCTCTAGTCCCACTAGTGGACATTGATTGCTCGCATGATGTTGATACCCCTATTGCGATGCTTCATGCTAATATGATTTCCCTATGCGATGATTTACCCATTTATGATGAGTTTGATGATTTTCATGTGGAGTCTATTAGTTGTGATGCCATGTTGCATAGGATTTCTTGTGATAATTCTTTAAGTCACATCATGTTTGACAATCCGCTTGACTTGTCATATGATCAACCATATGTCAAATTTGCAATCTCTTTGTAGTAACTATGCATATGACATTAAAATAAACCCAATTTGCACATATGGCATAGATGACAAGCCCATGGTTATTGGCATTTGTTTATCTTGTGATGATATTGATATGCTCCCTTTGCATCATTTCAATCATATTCCATGCCATGACCACCTAGCTTCGGTTATGCATTGTTTTGGATGTTGTCCATTTTCTTCAAATGATGTTTCCGATATTGTTCATGAGGAGACCCCATAGTTTCCTCATACATGTTAGGAGATTTTGATCAATCCCATCCATTGCTTGATCCCAATAATTATGTGCACAATATGCTCCCCATGAATCATAATGCTATTGTTGTGCCATATACTTGCCCGCTCAATTTGTGTCCCCATCATGTTATACATAACAACTATTCTTTCATGAGGGATGACATGTTTTTATACCATGCATCAAATTTCTTTGAGCGATACTTATCTTGTGCTAACTCGCACGTGCACATACACATCATGATGGATGATGTGTACATTTACCACACACACAATTTCTTTGGTTTGTGTCTCTTTCTTGTAGGTGCCCATGAATACTTGTCAACCTCACAATCTCATGAGTTGACAAAAACGAGCTCTACAGAGCAAGGATGACTTGGGATCACGTGAATTGTATTTCACACGGTTCCCATTGCGCAACAACTTCGCGCATTTCTTCTACATGGCCCTCACATGGTTATGGGTTATTGTCAATTACAGATTCTATGCCCATCTTGCCATGTTCACTTTGCATGATATGCTCATTCCTATGCCTTTGCCGTGCATTTGTGACTCAAGCTTTGCATTACACATAATGATTGATTCTCGTACTTGTATGTGTATTTGCAAGTTTAGTGGAGATATTGCTTGTTATTGCATGTTTCGTTTGCGACCCATCCCTATGATGATACTTTGATCTTGCTTTGTGTTCGTGCTTGCGATATGTCATGTACATTGCCTATGTCCACTATTTGCTCACATGTCATGATTGCCATGATTTCCCTTAGTGTGTTGCATCTTCGCTCCACTAGTTTGCACGACATAATTTATATGCTTGCTTATGTTGCATCATCGATGATTCATACTTGCTCGTTTCATGCGGTTGATGACAACCATTGCCATGCTTTACACATGATTGTTATTGCTTCTCGTCATATCTCTCCATATGTTGCTTGTCTCATGCTAAATGATTTGCCATGTATTGAGTGCAACAATAATTTTATTCTTGCTAATGAGATTGCCCCCATAGCATTCTCGCATATATTTGGAGATTTTGACATACTCTTTGTGAAGCATGCTTGTCTTACCTCTTTGCACCATATACCCCGTGCCATGAATATAGTCATTGTTGCATCATATTATTCATGCACTTGTGCTTATAATGATTATGTGCAAGACAAGAGAACCATCACGATGGATGATGTGTTTATCTACCATGCACATACATCATTTGCTTTTGTTTGTGCTTGTGTAGGATCATTATTCGCGTTGACTTCCACTTCACGTGAGTTGACCATTAGAGCTCTTGAGAGCGAGCCACCTTCTACCACGACGTTTCTACATCATACTTGCTTGTGCTTCGGCATTGTGAAGGACACACAAGGACATACTTTCAAGGTGATATCCTTCTCTTTTGAGAACCCCCAAACCATGAGCATAAATATTGTGAATCATACTTCATGTGTTGCTTTCACCTTGACATATTGCACACATGCTAGAGATCTTACTTTGACTTATCATTGACATTGCCATGCCTCATGACATATATACCTTGTGTGTTGCATCCAATTCATGGATTATTTGCTCCTATTATGTGCTTGGTTGCAGTGTCATTTCTTCACATGTGCATGTCCCATGTATTGCTACATGCTTGCCTTGCTTGCCTCACACATGATGAACACTTGCTCTTTCTATTGTGTTGAGTGCCATACTATCTTCACTACACCCTGTGCACGTTATGCTTGAATTGTCTTGCACTTGACCCATCTGTTTAGACACTTCATTTTATTTGGTGCTGTGAATGATTCCTATGCCTACCATCGACCATTTGTCGAGTGCTTTATGCATGGTTGCTATGAACTTGAGGTAGATGTTTATTTCCTTGTCACACATATTTGCATCGCAACCTCACATTTACATGTTTGTTTTCATGACAACCTTAATTGTGCTAAATTCACATGCTTACATGCCATGTCACAATCCTTTGTCACGTCATAAGCTATGCTTGATAACGACACTTGTTGGGTGAATCACCTCTTAAATGCTTGGTTTTACTCTAACGCCAACCACATTTGTTTTTCCAAGTGTTTGTTGTTCTTGCTCCTTATGAAGGAATCACAAGACGGTGCGACATTGGAGAGTGCCCATTTCGAGCTTGAAGATGATAAGTACTTGGTGAATGTCCCCTTCTACACGGTTACACCATCTCTTTCCCATGGTGATTTGGTTTTTGATCTGAATTCGGATCTTTTCCAAGGGGGAGGGGATGATGCGGAGCATCCTACGGACATCACCATGTCAAGAGCCGGTTTGACAAGTGACACGTACAACATCTACTTCACATACATAAAGGTGAATCATGTCCTTTACACATGCTCACCTGACCCCTTGGAGGATGATATACTACTTGACACTCCACTCGTGTGCATGCATATGTATTGTCGGAGCTTCACGGACGAGGAGGAGGAGTGCGAGCGCAACAGAATGACTACACCATCCGTGAGGGAAGCGTGGAAACAAAGACGGAAGAAGACGAAGCAGCGGAGTCTACACCGGCCAGACGACCGGAAGGCACCAGACGACCAACACTCTACAATGACCGGGCGACCGACGTGACACCGGAGGTCCGACAACCTCCAGCGATCGGACGACCGACATCGTTCGAAAATCCGACGCCACCTTAACACAGCCAAAACGTCGGAAGTTCGACGCCCTCCGGACATCCGGACCCCTGCGAGCCATCGGACGACCGACGTCCCTCGGACGTCTGACATCTGCGTGTGCACAGCCGGGCCTTTTGCCTTGTATCCCTCTTCCACCTATCCCTTCGTGGCTAAGACTATAAATAGACCACCTCCGCTTCCTTTTCAGGGTTAGCATGGGTTTTAGCTCATTATAGAGATTGAGCTTTGCTCATCCTTGTGGTTCTACTCCATCGAGAGAGACAGCAGCCTCTACGGAGAAGATCCACGCTTGGATTCAAGGCCCCTAATTGGAAGATCCCTCGCAGATTCAAGGCCTCTTCACGGAGATGAACCAGTTACCCTATGTATCGTTCTTTATTGGATTTGGACCGTGTGATCTCTATGTGTACTTGGATCTAGCACATGTGTGATTGTTTCTTGTTGATTTGAGTGTTTCCTTTTATTCATCTCGTGTTTTCTCTCTCGTGTTTTCGTGTTTTTCACTGGATCCCCTCCATTTCATGAAAGATCGGTCCTAGGATATCCACACTACATCACCCGATTTGCGGGATCTGCTAGGGATGTTCTAAGTATACAACCCGCTTCTCTTCTATCTCCTTCTCTCTTCCAACTCAGCAATAATATGTTGCTAAAAAAACTCAGCAATAATATTATATTATATTTAAATACTTACGGTACACGCCCGTCACCGTA